TTATGACCATACGAACTCAATAAAAATTGTCCAACTAATAGAGATTAAACCTCTAGTATACTACTAGCCCATGGAAGCCCAATAAATAAACTTAATGCAACAAGCCATTTTAACATACTAATTAAACAAAAGAAAAGAGTACAAGGTCACACATAACACAATATTTAAATAAAGCATTTAACATAATAGTTTAACTAACATGTTTTTACTCGCTTTGATCTCGTGGTCGTCCACTTGGCAATGCACCAAAAGTAACAAATTTGCATCATTATTGAGTTGATTTATTATGTGTCGTGATTTATTTGCATCTCCAAAGATTACATGACTATTCTCGAAAGCTAGTACGGAGTTGCTACTTTGTATAACTTATTATCCTCAAGACTTTTCTATATCGATTTTCTCCTTCATGAGGATCAGTTGCAGAACTATATTGTTGATAAGCACTTCAACAATTTGTTTATAAAATTGAAAGTACTCGAAGAATTTGCAGAGAAACTGGTACAGACGAAGAAACACAAAGTATTTCCTTTGGTTTACAAGTATTTAATTTTGGCGTTGGTTTTACCAATTGAAACAACATGCGTGGAATAAATATTTTTCGCAATAAATATTATTAATGATAGATTGAGCAATCAAATAAGTGATTATTGGTTAAAATGCATGATAGACCACTAGTTTATGTAGACAAAAAAACCTCCTTCAAAATTAATAATGATGTTATTATAGAGCGATATCTGACTATGAAAACAAAGTATACTTTTGTATTTTAACTTCTTTTTTTTTTTGATATTTTATATTATTGATTAAATATCTAGGCCCTCGCTAGATCCGCCCATGTTAATCACTTATAAGCTTAAAATTCGCTTACAAAATATTAAATTAAATTCACCGACAAATTATTAACTCAAACTTATCATCTATATTTTTCTCTTAAACAAACGAATTTTATAAAATTGTTAGAAGAGTGCATTGAATGTGATAAGGGCACATGAACAAGGGATGTGAATTTATTTATTTTATTTACTTATAAAAAATTTAAATTTTCTGGCACAAAAGCCCAAGTCACGAAATCTTTCTGAACCCCTGCAGTTGTTGGGGTGCATAAACACTGCTTCTGTGCTTCATCAGTAAAACATGTCATCATTATGTACTATTTTTATGAACTTTTACATGCAGCAGAAATAAAAGATAGAAAAAAAATAAAATAAATAAATAAAATAAAACTTGCATGAATAATTCACTCTGACATGAATAATCAAATCAAATCAAGCACGAAAAAAAATTCCCAATACGGTGAAACGCAAAAAGGGAGCAAAAGAACAATAATAATAATTAGTTGGAATGGAAAAAAAAATAAATAATAATAATAATAATAATAATAATAATAATAATAATAAAAGATAAAGATGCTCCTATTTTGTAGCCTCTTATCAAAAGAAGATAAACGTTATGGGGAGAGTTTTTTTTTTTTTTTTTTTT